AATCAACGTGTTGCCAATTTCTTGTTAATGTGTTTGTTTAAGAGTTAAAAGTAACATTTTAATCATTGTGATTACATGTCTTGCTGTTAACTATAGGGCATATGCAATAAAAATACCATGAACATTGTGCTCATTATGAACAATGTTATAATTCATGCAACCGGTAAAAAAGGAATGATATCTGGCAGCACAACAATAATACATATAAAACCACTTTTAACTCTTTCACAGTCATAGATGTATATTGTTTGTTGGTGGCAGCACCAACATGTACACAAATTATCAGCTGCTATACTTTAAGTTTACACTGCTTTAGACTTTACACTTTTTAGACTTTTTACAGTGACTTTACACTGCTTTAGGTTTACACTGCTTTACGCAGACTTTCTAGTGTAAAGCTGCCGACCACTTGTGATAGTAATAAAAGGGGTGCACTTGTGTACGTAAATTATTTAATTCCCGGGATATTAGCATCCCGGGATGGACACTAGGGTGAGAACACCAATTTTGGTGACATTGTTCCCTGTTAACACTTAAATGATGACCTATAAAAGCCTTTGAAGTGTTATCTAAGGACAATTTGGGGTACTGTTGTTTTTTTTTTGTAATGTCACAAGCACACACAATATTGAGGCTTAAAATATTTAGTATGCATTTATTCAACACAACCTCATCTTTTATATTTTACCAAAATATTGTGCTTGTTTCACTAAAGATAATACAAGTGTATTCTTGTACTGAAAATATGAATTTATTAAACTGTTGCATTACTGTGTGACAACAAAATTTACAACTGCTATAATTTATTTTTACAGGATATCTGCTTCACGTCTGATCAGTTATGACACAAGCCATTTGGGGGCTTGAAAGCTCACATGAGAGCTAAAGTAAACAAACTGGCAACAGTTGGCAAAAAAAGTTAATATTTTTGGGAGGCATTTAATCAATGTTTAAAGTTATTTTTTAAACCCTCAAATGTGCATAATAATGATCTGGCAATGCAATTGATAATGTATCACTTGACAACTATTATGAATAAGTAAAAAAAATACTAAACTAGATATACAGTATTTGCTGGCATATAAGGCGACTGGGCGTATAAGACGACCCCCTAATTTTTCAGTTCAAACATAGGTTTTGGGCTATACTGGCCGTATAAGACAAGTATAGGCCAAAAATAATGTTTGCATACACATTTGTCAGCACGCTGGATGTGCAGTAATACAGTATGTACGATAGCTTCGGCTACATACAGTATACCGCGCTAATGACCCCCGTGCATGATTTTAGACCACCCCACAGCATCCTGTGTCATCTGTGTGGGGTGGTCTAAAATCATGCACTGGGGTCATTAGCGCGGTATACTCTATGTAGCCGAAGCTACCGTACATACAGTATTACCACACATCCAGCGGGCTGACAGATTAGATTGTATACCCGGCGTATAAGGCGACCCCGATTTTCGGGGGATGTTTTTAGGTATAAAAAGTTGTCTTATACGCCGGAAAAAACGGTACTTGAGACACAGCCGATATTAATATGGCTGCACTACATTTCAAAGCTATAATGATATTGCACTAGAAAGTATCCATACCCTGATAACCTAGCTTAGCACCTGTATCAGATTGCTACAGTACAAAAAGACAAGACTTTCCGGAAAGAAGCACATAAGATAAATATCATATATGTATGGGGTATGTCTTGGCACGCTGGTAAGATGACATTGATGGAGCTCCGAAGTCATTGAAGGAGCCTTTTAGTCATCAGTATGGGGATAGTAACACCCATTGTGTGAAATCTCCAAGTTTCCAGACACACAATAATGCAGTGGGCATATTGTGATTGCAATCCTGGATTTACCCAGGCAATTTACCAGTGTCTGACCATGGAGCTGCAGTTCTCGACTGACTTGACCTATACACTACATATTACATAATCTTCCACATACAACAGCTACCACAATGGGAATTCAGAGACTCTGCATTTCAAACAGCAAGTCATGTGGCAGCATCTCACAACTCAAACCTGATCCACATGCACAACTTAGGCAACTAAAGCTGCAGGAGGAATATTTGACCTAGGTGTCTCCTTAAATCGGACATCTCCACAGCTCTACAATCAATATTTTACAGCATCTTAGATAAACCCCAGAGTTGCAAAATTGAGTTTGAAAGAACTATTACCTTGGTGACAAGGCACAGATCCTCCAGGGGAAAGTTATTTTCTGCCTTTTCAATTATGAACTAAAAAAAGAAATACTTCAGAAGTCTAGGCTTCAAAAGCACTTGACATTTGAATGCACAGAAGTTAGGATCTTCCAAGGTCAACTATTACAGATCAAACCCATAGGGCTCTCTGACTGCTACTAAAGGCACTATTAGAAAAAAAATACTCCCTACTATTGGTGTTTCCTATTCTGTCTATAGGCCACCAAAGCAGCCCACATGGCCATCCTCAAAACCTCTGAATAGCGCTCTCAATTTTCTGACCAGCTGCAACCTACCAGAGGTTTTCTTTTGCTGAAATGATGCTCTTCTTTCCACCTACCTGGTGGCTGGAATTAGTCACAAATAGAACCCTGCAGCCACTTCCCTCAGGATCTGAGCCTGCTCCATAGCCTACATCAAAGTAACATACACCCACAGTACTCCCCGCAAAGCTTGTACCTATCTTCAGGTGAGGAGATTAGGACTGATGAAGATGGTCCTGATCTCTGAAGGGACGCCATTTTTTCCCACCAGATAAGAACAGGTTGCTATAGTCCCACTCTGCCCATACCAGTTATAAACAACCCACCCTTTTGCACTCTAAACCACAAGCCTGCAGACTCTATACAACTTTATTCTACTGGTATATACACATTCTCATGTCCATAACCCTAAGCCAGTCTCCCAGACACAACCCCCTTCATCAGGCCTACAAACAAATTAGTGATGCAGTCAGATAACAGAGGGACTGCAAGGGTTTTGATGGCTTGAACTGTTGCATGTTTGTGTATTCCTGTGTTACCTATGGCTCTTTTTTGTTGACCTACTTTTTGAATATCCAATAAACATTTAATGTGGAATGAGAGATCAGAGTAAGATTAAAATAAAAAACATTTTCGGTTTCGGCCTGACATATTTTTTTATTTCGGTTTCGTTTCGGTTTTAACATTTCTATTTCGGTGCACCTCTACTATTTATTGTATCATAAATCTGCAGGCATTGTCTGGTGACACAAAGAAGACCTTTGATATGGTCGCCCGAGATTATATGTACTCTAGCACAGATTGGTCTTCTCCCTAATATAACTGGATTTATGCATTCTATTACAGACCCACAACCAGAGCACCATTTACCTGGCTAATTAACTGCTTCACCGTAAAGTCGTGGTAATGCACTGTGAATACCAAATAGTGACATTCACAGATTATTTTTTTTGTGTTGTCTTATCTTTGATCCCTGCTTGTTGTCATTGTTTGAACAATTCAGTTATATCTCTACTTTCCAAAGTCACTTCTCTTATTCCATTGCCCTCCTTGTGAATCCTGCATCAAAAAATGTTTCATCAGCTGAAGCATTCTCTACCTCTACCTTCAAATAGTCCTCTTGTGCAGTCACCTACTTAGGTGTCCAAATTCCAAGTAATGTGTTTAAAGTCAATTACCACCACACACACACACACACGCACACACACACACACACACACACACACACACACACACACACACACACACACACCTGTCTTGGTTTGGGAGATTAGCAGGCATTGAAATTGATGCTAAATTTTGCAAACAATTCCCATACATCTGCTATCTTCCTATTTAAAGAATATCAAGTTGTTTTGCTTTAAATTTGTCTGACAAGACTCTGTTCCAGGGCTTGAATGTGCTGCTGCCCACCCCAGATGCAGAAGAGGTTGGGGGCTCCAGGTTTCTCATGTTATCATATGGCATGTGTTCTGAACCATTAGGTGGTCTGTAACTGTCATGCGTCCTCCAAAGATTGGAATATGTCTTATTAAAGTGACACTAAACTTCAGTAAAATCTAAAAATGCCATTATGTTAACCCTAACTGTTAACATAATGTAGCTTATCTGTGTATCACTCAGATAAAGGTCCTCAAATCATTTCTGAATGTATGCTGACACTGTCCTTTCTTCTGGAGGGTGGCTACTTTTGTTCCCTATTATGCCTGTGTGTGTTTTGCAAAATAGCCACCGCTCCAAGCGCACTCCTGTGATGGACTATAATTTCATTACAAATTAGTAAACTAAATGTGAGATTGTAGTGCATCAGAGGAGCAAGCCTGGAACAATAGTTTGGGTACTAAAATGTATTTAATTTTTTAATTATTGTTAATGTATATCACTTGTTACACTTGGCAAGCTTACTCATGGGCATACCAGATGCATTTACATTTATTTACATTAACTGTGCATGAGGAGACTCCTGGGCTGGTTGTTTGACAAAGAACTGGACTGACTGATACATTTGCAGACTATAATCAGTGTGTTAGGCAACTGGATTGAAACATTTTTTTTCTTTTTAGTTTTGGGTAGAGAAGGGAATGGTTAATAGTAAACCCATGTCACTTTTTGTTCTGCTGTCTGTCATGCTGGGGAGATGTTCCTTCACTTCCTTTGTGGTGTTGGATACAGCACAGCGTAGTGAAAGCCGACATCATAGCAAAATGAGCCAAGCCATTCTTTGCAAACTATATGGTGAATTTAATTGACTAAGAAATATGCAATGTTTACATAGGACATTTTCTTGATTCATGTTTTTTTTCTCCCTAAATATATTAAGGCAGATAAGATTAGATACTTCAGTTTCCTCTGAACAAATAAGTGTTAGGGCAAATGTATATGTGCAGATGTGGTTTAGATTATGGTGTCTCTGACTATAAAATAGCCGTGCACTTATTTACCTTGCTTGACATAGGATTTTAAACATACAGTAGATGTATCTTGCCATTTTTGTCAGAAGATTAAGTTTTTTTCTTTGTTTTCTTTATAGCTGAAAGATACTAAATCCGTAGATCAGAAGACAACACTTATTCATTTCTTGGCTCAAGTGTGTGAGAAGAAGTTTCCAAATGTGCTAATGTTTGTGGAAGATATACAGACCGTAGACAAAGCAAGCAGAGGTACATACAGTGATGCACCTTGTGATTATTTATAGGGAAATTTGTATTCCTGCAATTAAGATCTAATTCTGTAGCTCGCGGTATTCTGAGACCGCCACTGTCGAGATCCAACCAGCTGCACAAGTGACAGCAGAGCCGGGGGGAGGGGGGGCTGGGGTTAAGGTTTCCTTCCTATGTGTTTCAATACAAATTTAACATGCTTAAAAAAAAAAGACAGAAGCTGTAGCAGGTTAAGTTGCTCCAGAGCTACAGGGGAAATCCAACAAATAGCCCTAGAAAACCTGCAATATCACCCTGAATCGGATCTAGGCACAACAACCAGGCTCATTGGCTTAGACATCTAATAGTGCAGCAGAGAAAGTTGTACAGTTAAGTAATGTGCTTGGGCTGGGTCTGACATGAAGACTACACTTGAATACACTAGTGCAAAGTGTGTCCAACAGGCCCATTTAAAAGTATACTGGAGCAACTGGTCACTTGCAATCGGTTCTTCCATCTCCATAATCTTGCTTACCTTGGAGTACTAGGCCTTGAGCGATAATGGTAAAGATGATTTCCTTAAGATAGGAATAAGCTGTTTCATCACATTCAGTACATGACAGATGACATTTATATATTGCATTAGGTTAATCTACATTCTGTGTTAATCTTCAAATTGATCTCTGGGGGCACTGTGTGAAAAAAAAAACAAAAGAGAAGGGTGCCCACCCTAGTGCAGATTGTTTTTAATACGAAAAAGCTGCAAGACAAAGTAAAACATACTCACAATAGTGAATCGAAATAAAGGCTTTCAAACAAAGCATGGAGCATCAGTAAGAGGCTGCACCGTCAACCTGTGTGCCAGCACAGGATTCCTTCGGTTACGTGTTTCCGGGGTCACGCCCCCTTCGTCAGAACATACTGTGTATTCTATGCTAACCGAGGGTTGTGTTAACTGTGTATTATATTAATGTTACTATATACATTGTTCTAACATTATTTGTGACAAAGTGACATGTATTGGAATCACTGTTTGATTATTATTAGGGCAGTGCCAAGTGTATTGGTATTACTGAACACGTAACTGTTTTAATAATACTGGGACAGGGTGAAATATAGTAATACATAGTGAATAGAGTGAACTGATTGACACTACTAACTACTAATGTGAATTGTCTAACAGTACACTGATTCAATAAAGGGAACTGTGACCCTGTGATAGAGTGACAGTCGGGGGCAGCGTGCTGGGTATCAATTTGGTAGTTGGTACTGAAAAACTTGAGAGAACTATGGGGTAAGTGTTTTTCCCCAGAGTTTTCTTTAGGGAAACAAGAGGAGATATACTAACCTCCTCCCGTGACCCAAAGCTCAGTATATTGCGGGCTATTGCCCGTGATATTCTGAGAGCGCCACAGCCGAGACGGATCCCGGCAATACTGTTGTGATATACCAAGCTGTGTGACAGCTGCCTCTGCCTATCTAGAGGCAGAGCCAAATGTGCCCGCCGCCTCCCCCGTTCATCCATTCAGCTCTGGCGGACCGGAGAGGGGGGGGATCCCTACTGGGAATTGAGCAGATTGGTTCAATCACCAGCTTCTTTGTCACAGTTCAGCTCTAACTATGAGAATGAGTAGGAATCACTCACCTCATAGTTCTCTTTTAACTAACCAGCTGGGAAACGGATAGCAGGTATTTACAAATAATTTTATACAAATCACTTTATCAAAAAGGGACAAGTGAGTAAACAATCTTGATAAAAATGGAAAAAAGGGCCTCAGTCATGAAGGGGTTAAATAGTAATAGTCATGACTTTAATGGATAGTAATGCTACCAGGTGCACATCTTGGTCCATATATGCGCTTCTTCAGCACCCACTCAAGGGTGAATACTGCTGTGTGAGATGCGAGCTAGTTGTTTGCTTGGAAGCCCAGATCATTTTCCCCCAGAATAGGGAAAAAGTGTAAGAGAGGCTGGAACAGAATACCTCCCTTAGCTGCCAGGGGAGTGACTGCCCCAGTATGGAGGGGAACAGGAAGGCTAACATGAAAAGACAGGTATGGTGGTAAGGGACTCAATGATCAGGAGGGGTAATCTGTCACAAAGACCACAATCACCAAATAGTATCTATAAGTACTAATGACAAAGTGAGATGGAGCGCCCTCAAAAAAAGATTTCCAGAGGCTAAAGAATAGCATCTCCAAGGCTGTATTCTCTGAAATATTGCCAGAGCCACACCAGTGAGACAGTGAGAACTAAGAGCTAAAAAAAAACTGGTGTAGGCATGAGGGGTTTGGGTTTATGGAGAACAGGGCTGACGTTTCAGTCGGCTACCGACTCTACAGCAGTGATGGACTGCACCTACATGGGGAGGGTGCTGCTCTGCTGGGGGAGAAGATGGTGAATAGACAAGAGGAACTTTTAAACTAGGATGGGGATCAAAAACTAATATGACCCAACTACAAGACAATTACATTGGGCAAATGGTGGAAACACCAACTAGAGATAATGCTTTACTAGACTTACTAATTTCTAATAATACTGAGCTAATCAAAGACATGGATGTAAGGTACAACTTGGGTTAGAGTGATTATAGGGTAATAATGTTTACTGTCCTTTTGGGAAAACAGAAAAGGGGGGAATAACAAGAACACTAAACTTTAAAAAAAGGCAAACTTTAGCAAACTGTGATCTTTATTAAACAATATTGATTAGGGCTGCAACAACTAATCGACATAATCGATTATTGAAAAAGTTGTCAACTTTTTCAATAATCGATTAATCGGCTTCCAAACAGTTGGCCCTGTTCACGGCTCCACAAACGCTGCGCACCACTGCCAGACCCGCCCGCATCCACGCTCTACACGCCGCACCTCCTTCCCGCCTCACACTCACCGCCCGCCCACATCCACGCGATCGGCACAGGGACGCGGGGAGATGTAGTAAGGAGGAGCAGGTGTGGGGGGGATGACAGCTGCCGATAGACAGGTCCCTCAGGTAAGCCTAACCCCCACCCCCCCAGAAGGTGCTCTATAATGTATTGCTGGGATTTGTATTCCTCTATAGCTGATGGTACATTGTGCTGTATAGTATACATAAGAATACAAATCCCAGCAATACATTATACACTGTATGTATAATGTATTGCTGGGATTTGTTGTACTCCTTTATAGTTGGTGATATTCTGCACTGCACTGTATAGAGGACTACAAAACCCAGCAATAGTACATTATACAGCACAATGCAGAATACCGCCAGCTATAATGTACTGTTGCTGGGATTTCCATTTCACTATATTGCACACCACACCATTTTTTTACTTCCACCGCTCCAAGCTTGCTCCTGTGATGGACTACAATCTTAATACAAACTAGTAGTCCATCACTGGAGCCATTTTTTAAAATGTATTTTATTGTTTATCTGATTAACCGATTAATCGAACTTAATAATCGGCTAACTAATCGATTTTGAAAATAATCGTTAGCTGCAGCTCTAATATTGATTGGGATGAAATATTTTGGACAATAAAAATGGAAGACAAATGTGAATGCTTCAGGATCATATTAAATTACTACATTCACCAACATATACCATTAAATAACCAATGTAAAAGAGCAAAAGTTAAACCATGGTGGTTAAATTCTAGAGTTAAAAGATTAATAAATGGGAAAAACTTGGCCTTTAAAAAGAATAGGATAGAAGATTAATCAAATGCAGTCAACAGTACAAGAAATGTAAAAATGTTTTTAGGGCAGCGAAAATAAGCTCTGAAAAAAATAGCTATAGAAAGTAAAAGTAATCCAAAAAAATGATATCAATACATAAACAGTAAAATAGTAGAGAAAGGAGCACATAGGCCCCATAAAGGACAAGTAGGGTAAGCTGGCCACAAGTGACAGAGAAAGCAGAGGTATTGAACACTTTCTTCTCTTCTGTTTTTTACTGATGAACAAGACTGGTATGACAAAGTAAACACTATTCTAAATTTTGACTAGTCGAATTCCATTGGCTAGCAGAGGTGGAGGTAAGAAAGAGGCTTGAACAGCTAAACACTAATAAATCCCCAGGACCAGATGGCTTACATCTGCGGGTCCTCAAAGAACTGAGTCTGGTTATTGCCAGACCATTGTTTTTAATTTTTAGGGACACTTTGCGGACGGGAGAGATACCAGAGAACTGGAGGAAAGTGAATGTGGTGCTGATATTCAAGAAAGGTTCAAGATGTGTACCAGATAACTACAGGCCAGTCAGCCTTACATCAGTAATTTGCATTGATTTATGAAAGGCCGTTCTTGCCAGACAAATCTGTTAACATTCTATGAGGAAGTAAGGTGGACAGGGGAATCCCAGTTGATTTAGTCTTTCTAGACCAGGGGTGTCCAAAGCCCTCCAGCTGTGGTGGAACTACAAATCCCATTATCTTGCATTGCAAGATTCTCACAGCCACAGACATGACTCCCGGAGAGAGATGCATCATGGGATTTGTAGTTTCACCACAGCTGGAGGGCCGGAGTTTGGACACCCCTGTTCTAGACTTTGCAAATGTGTTTGACACAGTACCCTACAAACAGTTTACAAACTGAGGTTGGAAGAACCAATATGTACATGGGTATAAAATCGGTTGCAGGACTACCTACAGAGGGTTTGAATAAATTGCACATACTCCAAATGTTCCAAAGTGGTGAGTGGAGTGCCCTAGGGTTCAGCCTTGGGGCCAATTCTGTTTATCTTGTTCATAAATGACATTGCTTCATATGGGTGCATTCTTGTGTCGCTCCACTACATGCCACTGATAGTTCATGAATTTCAGTGTTTTCCACCTCCACCATGCTCCCCTCCTCACAGTAAACTCACCAGAGCCGATGTAAGTAAACATGTGTACCGGTCAAATTGCACTTTCAACATAGATGTCCTCTGTTTTTCTATTAGTCCATGAACCGGACAGCAAAACACTTCTTCAATACCATTATAGTCCCAGGTATGTTAAAATACAATAATGGACAGAGGCAATTAGAAGGGAAAGG